ACACGCCAATATTTCAAATGATATCCTTCCTTCTTTTCAATAAATATGGATAAATCACAAGAAAATCATATTTCTAGTTGACTCAATAATAGAAAAAAATGTGTATTACATTGTGATATATATAAATTGTCCAATGATGGAAAAAGAAAGGTTAATTGTTTTAAATTCAATCCAGAAGACATGCGGAAAAGAAGGTGGAATTTGTAACTTTATAGTGAAATATCTTAATAAAAAATGGTTTGTTCACATTTTCATTATCAAATTCGTGTTTTTCAGACAAAAATACGTAAGTACCAAAAAAAAATTTTCGAAAAAAAAACCATCGCATGCTAAATGCTGATTAATAGGAAAGTTGAATACATTTTCATGGAACGGCATGTAGGCGTATATATGCACTTATTCGCGAATTTACTTCTCTAGATTATATTCATATTATCTGTATAAAGTATAAATTATCTGAATTTCTGACAGTCGTGATCGAAGAATGCATTAAGTATCTATTGAATGAATGCCCTGTATATACGCGAATGTTCAAACTTTTTCATTTGTTAAGGTAATTTTTGTTGAATAACTTTTTGATGAATGGTGAATAATCGAATCATTACTCTGCATATATTTGTTCAATGAAGTATATCTAGATAACTGATCTCTAATTTACCTACTCGTATACCCAAACGAAGAGAATTAATAAATTCACATTCGATATTGAACATTAGCTAGATATTTCAAATTCTTCATTACTCATCTGCATATATTTCTTCAATGAAGTATCTAGAACTTATCTCTAATTTACTCGTATTTCCAAACGAAGAGAATTAGTAAATTCACATTCGATATTGAACATTAGCTAGATATTTCATATTCTTGCACCACTTGCCCCCAACACTATGAGGCAGAGATGGAGAAGAAAAAACTATGCGTTTTTCTTACAATTTTTTCATTATCTTATACTGTTGACGGCAACTATAACGTCATCCTATTCTGCATAAAACGGGCTATCGGGAATGATTGTTCACCAAATGTTGACAGTAAAGTTGTCATAGATTCTCGAAAACACAAAGCATTGGCTGAGCCAGTTAACACAACTAGAACTTGGATCCCGAAATCCTCTCTTTTTAATACTTGAACGCTTTTTTATTGAATACGACTGTATACGTTTGAAATGAGCTCCGAAATTCAACAATTTCGAACAACGCACACACTCATTATTTACATAGTGTGAGAATTGTTGCAAAAACAGTGTAGTAATTGAATGCTAATAATTCATTATAAGTCCACTCGCCCATTGGTCGTAAAGTTCCACAATGAGAGTAAAAAAATTTAAGTCTGCTCAAGTCTTCCATAACTTGAGGTTTTCTATTTGTTCAAATATTCTACATCATTTTTCCGGCAAAATTTTGGGATTTTTGACTTTGACATTGACCTCACGTTTTAGTAACGCCAACTGGTGAGACTGAAAATGTTAACCCCCTATTATTGAAAACACCTCCAATGCTGACGAAGGTCTACGTCTATCCGAACCTTTGGCATTTCTAATCGCACCACTATTCGCGGTCGTCAAGGTTATTAGAGGCCGTTGCGATGCTATTTAAAACTACGGGAAAACATCCTGACTCCTGGGCTTTCGCTATAGGAAATGAGCGTACGCCACCTATCGGAGGACTTGAAAGCCGTCAAAGTGGCCTGTTTGCTTAGTCATTGGTTGACATTTGTTTTTTGTTTGAGCTTATTGGTCATATCATCAAAAGAAATCGTTCAGAAGTGTTTGAGTTGTTGCCGCCAGGAGGGGCGACGTGTTATTTTTTTCTATCGCTAATTGATTGAAGTTAGACATATTTTTTCATAATTTTTAATGTCATCGCAACGTCATCTAATTGACCTTGGCGACCGCGAATCCGTGAACGCGCCACATTCATCGTTTCACAGGAGTTGCGAGAATATTTCGACAAGCACTGCGAAATCGAGAGCATCAACATGAAAACGCAAATCTCACAATGTTTCTTAATATGTACTCGTTTAGTGCTGGAGATTATCTATTGAGCTCTGTTTTGAATAACCATTAATGAATTGTTAAGTCAGTTCTGCTACTGAAGGTGCGTTCGGTTTTTACAAATCTGTTAGCTCAATTACCCCTGTTTGCTCAGAAGGCGTTCGATAATCAAATCTTCTTCCTCTGTGACAACATGAAGATGTGATTTGTTAGCTCCATTTTGGGAAGCGGAGCAAGATTCTTGGGTAGACAGTTGTCATAATAATTGTCAAAATTGTGATATATGTAATCATCAATGTTATGAACCACAGCTGATGACTAATCTTCTGAAGAAACATTCGTTTTGTAGTAAGTAGTGATGCTACAAAGAGTTTCGGCGTATGTTCCATATGTCCTGGAAGTACAGAAAAACGGTGGTCTAAAGATGCAACTCTTGACCTTGACCTTATCAGGCTAGTGGAGGAATATGATGATAGGCAGTTCCAAAGATGGGTAAAATACTTGTGTGGACAAAAATTGTAGCTTAATTGAATACCGACCAAAATGGTAATTGATGTTACATGGCAACAATGTGATACCAAGTGAATGTCTTCATTAGCTACAAGCAGTTTCGGCGTATATTGTTCAGGGTGTTTCACCGAAAATAGAAGATGCACCCATTACCGTTATTTCATCATCAAGTTCCATATGTCCAAAAGATGAAAGAAAAACGGTGGATTAGAGACGTAACTCTTGACCTTGACCTTGACCTTGGCAGGCTAAAAGAGGAATATGATGATAGGCAGTTCCGAAAATCAGTAAAATACTTATGCAGAAAATAATTGCAGCTTAATTGAATACCTACCAAAATGAAAATTGATGTTTACATGGCAACAATGTGATACCAAGTGGAAGTCTTCATTTTCTGAAGGAAAGCAAATTGCAGCCATTTCAGTGGAACGCCACCATGAAGAGAAAATGCTGCGCCAGGACAGATCTCGACTATTTTGAGGGTTTCCTGAAACATATAAAAGTAAAAATTGATAATCCTGAAATCAGAATTAGAGAATGGTGAAAAATTACCTTGTGATTGTGAATCATCATGTTTTCAATGGAGAGTTTTAGAAAATAAATTGATTCTGAATCCATTTTCATGTTTGTTTATTTTCAAACAATTTTTTGTTTTTTCAGTTGTACAATATTAATGAATAAAATATTGTTACATTTTTCCTTTCATTCAACAAATATTCGTTCTACTGCTAGGTAATGCAATAGAAATCTCCTTTGGTTCCTTATTTCCAATTTGATGAAAAGGTGACATTTAACATCTGACCTCTTGATTGTGAATCATCATGTTTTCAATAGAGAGTTTCAGAAAATAAATTGATTCTGAACCCATTTTCATGTTTATTTATTTTCAAACAATTTTTTGTTTTTTCAGTTGTACAATGAATGAATGAAATATTAATGAATAAAATATTGTTACATTTTTCCTTTCATTCAACAAATATTCGTTCTACGGCTAAGTAATACAAAAAAATCTCCTTTTTTTTTTCGTTATTTCCAATTTGATGGAAAGGTGACCTCTCCCACAGCATTCCTTTTTATCAATCCGCTTGATTAGCTAGGTGATCACGTGATACCAAATCTTTATCTGATCGATCGGATCCGATTTTCAAAAACCAAACGCACTTAGAAGACGCAAACCATCTCTGAACGCGTCTTATCCGTTGTTTCATAGGAGCTGCGAGAGTATTTCGACAAGTACAGCGAAATCGAGAGCATCAACGTGAAAACGCTAATCTTACCATGTCTTCGGCTAAACTTTTTTAATGTCACATTTGTACTCGCTCAATACGGGAAGTCTATTTAGCTCTGTTTTGAATAACCATTAATGATGATTGTTAAGTCAGCTACTGAGTAGCATTGAAGACAACTGCAATGCTGATGAACATCGACACAAACAGCTGGCACTTCCAATCGCAACTCCATCTCTGAACGAGTCTTATAGCGAATTCCATTCGTAAATCTGGTGGTGCACTGGTTTCAAACCAGTTTTGCACCCTAATAGAATACGAAATAATATTATAATAAACGTATTGTTGGAGGTTAAATCGGATAAGTTGGTTTGTCATTGTTTATAACTTGTCCGCATCCTGAAATTCTCTCTTAACTTCAATTAAGAACAAAGTAAATCTTTCATGGAAATAATTTCCAGTACTTTTTTTGATAAGTACCTGTTCATCATTGAATTTGCAAAATACTTTCATCAAAATTAGAAACCTTCAACTTTTCATCACTATTTGATGATCATGATTATATTGTCACTAACAATTTGGTTTTCAAACTATTCATATTCAATGTTTCCGCCATTTTCAAAACTGCACTGACTTCGCACGACCTATTAGAGGTCGTGCGGTTTTACCAATGGGATTCGCTAATATTCATTGTTTTAGAGGAGCTGCGAGAGTATTTCGGCAAGTACGGCGAAATCGAGAGCATCAACGTGAAAACGCTAATCTTACCATGTCTTCCTGTTAACTTTTTTTTTCATGTCACATTTATACTCGCTTAATACTGCAAAGACTATTTAGCTCTGTTTTTAATAACCATTAATGATGATTGTTAAGTCAGTTCTGCTACTGAGTAGCATTGAAGACACCTCCAATGCTGATGAACATCGACACAAACAGCTGGCCCTTCCGATCGCAACACCATCTTTGAACGAGTCTTATTCATTGTTTCAGAGGAGCTGCGAGAGTATTTCGGCAAGTACGGCGAAATCGAGAGCATCAACGTGAAAACGCTAATCTTACCATGTCTTCCTGTTAATCTTTTTTCAATGTCACATTTGTACTCGCCTAATAGGTCTATTTAGCTCTGTTTTGAATAACCATTAATGATGATTGTTAAGTCAGTTCTGCTACTGAGTAGCATTGAAGACAACTCCAATGCTGATGAACATCGACACAAACAGCTGGCCCTTCCGATCGCAACACCATCTTTGAACGAGTCTTATTCATTGTTTCAGAGGAGCTGCGAGAGTATTTCGGCAAGTACGGCGAAATCGAGAGCATCAACGTGAAAACGGACCCGAACACCGGCCGGTCGCGAGGATTCGCGTTCATCGTGTTCGCCAACGCGGACGCCATCGATCAGGTCGCCGCTGCCGGCGATCACGTGCTCAACGGTAAGAAGGTGGACCCGAAGAAGGCGAAGGCCAGGCAGGGGAAGATATTCGTCGGGGGTTTGACGGCCGAGCTCACAGACGACGATATCAAGTCGTATTTTGCACAGTTTGGATCGGTGAGTGCTCTTTTTTTTACAAGCTTTTTTTTATTTAGTTTTACCTGTCACGGTGTCTGTGTGTTTGTCTGTGATTCAAAACGTCTCGCTGACAGCTCTGAAGTTTTGTTAACAATGTCATTCGCGAAATTATTAGGCAACAACCTGTTCTAGCAATCGTCGAATATTTTTTGGCAAAATAGTATCACCTGTGATATTACATAATGATATGACATATTCCACTCTTGTTCTGGAGAACCAATCAGAATCGACCATTGATTTGTAGTGGACTATAGTTTTTTCCTTTTGATTCTAAATCAGACTGAATCAATCGCGGGAAAGTACTTCCTACCTTAAACAGTTGAAATCTGCACCATTCCAGGGAATCCAGGTTCCAGGGCTGCTTCAGAAGTGGAATTTGATATGCGGACGCGGCGGTACATCCTAAAACGCGAGTTTCACTAAAAAAGGTTTTTTATCGATTTTTATTTGAGGAGTCAACTGCGCGCTCGATTCCGCTCCCATCGCTCGTTGTGTCTCTCGTTCTCTCTTCTCCCGCAGGGGTCGCTGTCCACAGGATTGAAAGTAACTTTCATGAATGTGAAACGGCGGTTGAATTTAAAAAGTGATTCTTTGTGCACCATGTCGACTAACTATATTTTAAATACTATATAAACTAAAACTAGACAAAAAGAAGGGTTGAAAACGTTCTTGAACAACCATTTTAACGTATTTTCCTGTATTCCACTGATATTTTTTGTTTACTAATATTTATCAGACTTGCTCTACCAATATAGAAGAATACAGAATACGTCAATTATGTTGAAAGCCAGAATGATGGATGCAGTGTGTGCAACTCTTGCGAGGCGCTCGTTTATTGTCTCATTCATGAAATGTTCATAGGAATACAACTCTGATGCTATTTTTATTGGAAATATTTAAGGATTGACATTCTCCAGCTTGCTGCTTTAATTTCGCTCATGACATTGATTCAAAACTTCTTGCCTGTGGCTTGAAAGTTTTGATAAACAATCTCATTCGCGAAATTATTAGGTAACAATCGCCGAGTATTTCCGGCAAAATGGTATCACTTATTACATAATGACAATGCATCATGAAATTTTTGTTAGAGGAAATTGTGATTATGATCCGATTCTTTTCAAAATTTGTATGTGGGGGTTTTCGGGGCCGGAAATTATGATTCTCGTCAAAATTGGAAAATTCAAGATGACGGATCCAATATGGCGAACGAGTTTTGTAATTATGATCCGATTCTATTCAAAATTGGTATCTGGAGGTTTTTGGGGTCGGCAATTATGATTCTTCTGTCAAAGTTGGCTGTCCCGAAAATTGGAAATTGTTCTATTTTGAAAATAAAAACGACTTGGACTTTTTGACCACCATTCTGAACAGCGTGGACATAAAATTGAGGAGATCCGAACTTATTTTAAGAAAATTCATTTGAAGGAAACTTCCCCATTGTTTGCTTTGGATTTATAATTTCAAATTGTTTACTAAAACATTGAAAACTGATCACACAACAGCCGGAAAACGCATCAGTAACAACAAACACAACAATTTATATTTCTCACCACAATTATCGACCGTCTACTACAAAACTTTTCGGTGCTGCCACGTTCATAATTGAATCGTATTTTTTATTTTCTCATGTACACTCGTCTTCAGAGAACATGTGGCACATGGACGGTGTCAGCTCTCTCAAATCACCACTGCAATAAGAGCACTCATATCGTCCAACCGTGACATGTTCACTGAAGACGAGTGTACCTTACAATATCTGATGAGGTTATAATTAATTATAAGTTGTGAATTTCTGATAATTGTATTATGGGTATGGGTATCATTGTCTTGAAGATTTTCTCCGTAAGGTATTTATGGTGAGAGGAATAATCTGTTTTATCTGAAGAATCCTGGTTCCACAGGTGTCATGAGAATGTGATGCTTTTTCCACTGAAGAAATAAGCAAAATAAAGCACTATTAAACTAATAAGGTTCAACCTAACATGTTGTTGTTCAATGTTGTTTTTGTATTCCAGATTGCCGAGGTGGAGATGCCCTTTGACAAGACGAAGAATCAGAGAAAAGCGTTCTGTTTCATCACTTTCGATTCAGAAGCTGTTGTCAATGAACTTTTAAAATCTCCCAAACAAACCATCAAAGATAAGGAGGTAAGATTTTGCAATTCAATTTTTTTTGTCATTGATGGAAAACCTGAAACGTTCAGTAGTCTGATAATTCTGCAATTATGGACATTAAAAGTAAATTTTTTTTTCCATTTTATGAAATTACATATTGTTGCCTCTACAAAATTGAATTATTCAATTTTTTTCTTTTATTTGGTAATTTATTCATTTATTTATTTATACTGTGAAACACAATCAGAATTTCACTCTTACGAAGCTAACACTGTATCTAAATCGAACAGCAACTGCAAGTTCACCGTTGGTGACAAAACAAATATTAATATATTCCATTTGAATATCCGTGCCCTTGCAAACAAAGTGGATAGACTACACCTCTTCTTAGAAGAATTCAAATGTGATGTTGTTTGTCTTACTGAACATTGGCTGGATGACCAATGTTTGCAATTTTGTAACATACCTAATTATAAGCTAGTCTCTCACTTTACTAGGCCGAGGAATATGCACGGCGGGGCTGCTATATATATAAATATAAAAAACAATTTGCTAGCGAGACCTTTGAATCTGACTAACTACTGTATAGAACGAGATATAGAGGTGTGTGGTATGGAGCTGCCGAAATCACACACTGCTCTCATAGCTTTATATAGGTCATCATGTATTAATGATTGTACCATCTTTTTCAATAAGCTTGAAGAACTGTTAACTGATCTTTCAGGAAAATTCACTCAAATAATCCTATTAGGTGATTTCAACATAGATTTTATGATGTCTTCGACAAACAAATCGAAAATATGTTTCTTACTAAATTCTTTTGGACTAAGCCCCACAATTTCAGACTACACCAGGGTTGAAAATGGCTCGAAAAGTTGCATTGACAACATTTTCACAAATCTAACAAATGAATGCTACAAAACGGGGGTTATTGACCCTGGTCTATCTGACCACTATGGTCAGTTCATAACTGTTAAAATGCCCATATTGGGAAAAAGCTCACCCCTCAGTAAGAGATGCATTACCTCAGATGGTTTACAGGAAGTCAAGAAATCCTTGAGCATGATGAATTGGAATAGTTTCTACAATGCAAGTTCTGCTGATGATATGTCAAGTTTTTTACTGAATTGCTATTCTACACTTGTAGAGCAACACTTTCCTCTAAGAAAAATAACTGGAAAACCCAATCCACCATGCTACTGGATCAATGATCAAATAAAAAATATGAAAAATATTGTTCAAGCATCAAAAACAAGATATGATGTTACCAACGACCCTGTACATAAGGAAGCCTTCATAACTTTAAATAGTGAGTATCAAAAAATGGTTTTGTTAGCAAAAAGAAATGCATATGACAATTTTATATTGAACTCTGACAATAAAATCCGAGATAGTTGGAACCTCATCAAGTTTGAAATGAATAACACAACTGTCACCAATCATAACGCAAATTTTACTCCACAAGAATTCAACTCATATTTTTCTTCTGTGGGTATGAATATAACAAATGAGCTTTCACATAAAAGTACTAGTTCTATTCCACTCTCTTATATGGATAAGCCGAACAGTCCAGGATCCTTCTTTATGGAGCCCATTTCTAATGTAGAGGTTGCCAATGCAATTTTCGAGCTGAAGAATACAAATTCGCTTGATGTTTATAATCTAAATAGTAAAATAATAAAAGAAACAGCTATGTACTTGATTGAACCTTTAACTACACTTTTCAACGCCTGCATTGGGGAAGGTCGATTTCCTGATGCTCTCAAAATATCCAGAGTTCTTCCCATTTACAAAAAAGGTGATGTCACAAATATTGAAAACTTCCGCCCAATTTCGATAGTTCCACTTTTCGGTAAAATATTCGAGATTATTTTAAAAAATCGTCTGTATAATTATTTCCATAGAAACAACTTGTTGAACCCAAATCAATTCGGATTTAGGAAGTCGACATCAACAGTGCATGCTCTGAGGAAGGTAGTTGATGATATCATTGAGGGTTTCGAAAAGGGTCATCATACTGCAGCTGCTCTGTGTGACCTGACCAAAGCTTTCGATTGTGTGTCCCATTCCATTCTCATCAGAAAACTCGAGGAGTATGGTATTAGAGGAGTACCCCTCTCCCTTTTTTCATCCTATTTAACAAATAGACAACAATGTGTTGTAATAGACTCAAATAACGTATCTGATTTTGAATTAATAGCATGTGGGGTTCCACAAGGCTCTGTACTAGGCCCTCTCCTATTCATTATCTATGTAAATGACCTATTTTCATATATGTGCCCTTATGGATGTATTGCATTTGCGGACGATACAACTCTCACCAGCTCCAGTGAAAATACAATTGGTTCGTTAGCAAATATAAATCTGGCTCAAGCTAAAGCGGAAACTTGGTTTAAAAGTAATAATCTTAAATTGAATAAAAGTAAAACACAACATATATTATTTTCTATGAACAACTCAACAGCATTTGGTGATACCGTCAAACTGTTAGGTGTTACACTGGACGACAGATTAAACTGGTCAGGTCACACAGAGCAGCTGTGTACAAATATTTCAAAATACTTATTTTTACTCCGTAAACTGAAGACTATCATTAGTTTGCAGGTTCTATTATCAGCTTATTATGCTTTCTTCCATTCACGAATCTCATATGGTATATTACTGTGGGGAAATAGCGTGAAAGCTAACGAAGTTTTCTTGTTACAAAAAAAAGCAGTGAGGATAATCTGTGGGTCAGGGTTTACCGATTCCTGTAGACCACTTTTCCTGGAACTCAGTATCATGACTTTACCATCCATATATATCTATCAATCTATTTTAGAAATACATAAAAACAAGAATAATCATGAAAAGAATGCTGATTTCCATACTTACAACACTAGAGGCTCTCAATTGATAAGACCATCTAAATTCAGATTACAAAAATCAAGTAGAAACTCTCTCAATGTAAATCTTTACAATATACTACCCACTTACGTCAAAGCTCTGAGTGTCAAAAGTTTCAAAAAACACATGCACTCATATTTGACCTCCAATGTATTTTATACTACTGGAGAATATATAGCGGCCCTAACATCCACAACAAAATAAATAACCATGGGGTATATTATTCCTGGTGCATTATCTTTTATAAATTACTTTTTACACTACATTTTACTCAGTTTTTATCATTGATTATACATCATATTGTTCTCGTATGTTTGTATGCACACTTTTTTTTAGTTTTTAATTTTTAATTTTTAACTTCATCTGTAAATCTCTAGTCTTAGCCACTAGTTTTTGTAATATTCATAACTTATGTATATGTGACGTATCTTATTTGTATTCTTATGAATTCACCTAAAAGACAAATAAAATATCTATCTATCTATCTATCTATCTATCTATCTATCTATCTATCTATCTATCTATCTATCTATCTACTGGGTGTTTCCTACACATTGGTGAAGGATTTGTGGGGTGATTCCTGAGCTATTATGGAAAAAAGTTCCAATAAATCTTTTTTGAAAAATTATTCCCTTCAAATAGGGTACTCTGGAGACGGTTTTTTCTCAATAATTCCATGACCGTTTTTTGAAAAATCATGACATTGGCATATTGCATTGACTTTAAATGCTGAATCAAAATTCGAGGTGAGAATCTGTAGATTTCAATAATATGCATATCATACTGGTAGGGCTATAGGTGAAAATAATCCCATTTTGTATGGATTTTTTTGCACATTCTGATTCCAGAATATGATACTTGAAAGTTTTTCACTTGAAAAAAGTTAACTCTTAGTTTAGTACTTTTTGGGAGAATTGCAATTTTCTACATCAATGCATCAGCGGAAATTTTGAAATTTGATACACTGCATAAACTTTCAACACTAAATTAGATTCTGAGCTCAAAATTTCTAAATTTTCATCTGAGGCATATCTAAGCTTCAAATTTTGAAAATTGTATCTGTAATGTCACACTGGGTGTTTAAGGGTAAATACAACCTTATTTTTTATTTACATTTATTTTTGACATTTTGCTTTGAGAATTATTAGATTCTTGAATAATTTTTATATGAAAAAGATACTCAATACTCTTGGTTCAGATAGGGCTAATTGTTTTGGAAGAAATTGCAATTTATGACACTTATCCCCAATATCTACCCCTTTAGTGGCAATAAAAAAATGGGATCGGTTTTACCCCTAATCAATACTGTATGACACACTTCTGATGACAATTTCAAATATTGGGCTCATAATTTCATTTGACTTTGAAAGTTTATCCAGTGTTCCAAATTTCAATATTTCATGTGAACAGTTCTTGTTCCCTTTTTTGGTGATTGGTTGGACTCTAGCTGTCTTCCAGCATGATGGAAAAATACCCGATCTGTACGAGACGTAAACAACTTGCAGAGAATCGCTGTTAATTCTGTTGCACATTTTTTGAGGATAATGTGTGGAATTCCATCAGGACAGTTAGCCTTATTCATTTTGAGACCAAGCAAAATTCGTCTGATAGTGCGTTGACGGAAAACGATTTCGGGCATTGGACTCTCAACGGGTGGAATGTCTGGCGGCACTTTTCCTTGGGAATCTGAAGTAGGGTTTGCTGCGAACATCTCTGCAAAAATATTTGCTTTCTGCTGCGATTTTGTTGCCAATGTGCCGTCGGATTTGGACAGTGGTGGAACTATTAGTGAAATTTCTTCCGAGCGCTTTAGCAAGGGACCAAAACGAACGGGAGCCATTGGGGCAATCTATGAGTTTAGATTTTATCTTGGCATTGTATGTTTCTTTCGAAGCATCTATTGTTTGGCTGCAGTTATTGCTGGCATCAACGTATTCTGCTCTAGTCGCGAGGTTAGGGTTTTGCGCCAGCGATGGTAGGCTGTTTGTTTCAAGGCAACAGTTCTAGAACAGTTTTTGTTGAACCAGGGTTTCCAGGGTGATGATCTTTTCGAAGAATGAGGTATGTATGTGTCCATTCCGAGCATGATGATCTCGGATATTTCCGCAGCACACTGTGAATGGTCCTCAGAGTCAAAGTATACTCTATGCTAAGGAAACTCTGAGAAAAACATGCGGAGACCGTCCCAATCTCCTGAATTGTAATGCCATATAAGACGTGGGGGTGCCGGAGCAGTTGAAATGGAATGAAAAATGGGCAGGTTGTGGAGATGAGTATGTGGTCAGAATTGCCAAGTGGAGCTCCTACATCTATGGTGTAGGGTGCTGAATTATTAGTGAGGAATAAGTCAAGTATGTTAGCTGAATGGTTATTGGCATCGGAAATTCGTGTGGGTTCTTTGATAAGCTGCTCTAAGCCGTGAGTGATGGCGAAAGCTTTGGCTTGTGGCTTGTGGTACCATTGTCTGATAATGGTCGGTCGTAGTGTCGAAACCGGTAACTTTTTAAGGAAGTTTTTTTTATATAAAGTGTTGTCGACCGACTTTGTTTCCTTTCATTTTTCTATTGAAATTATATTGGACTAGAGTCCCTGTATATACTTTAGACAAGAGTCCGGACACAAAACTGACAGCCGTTGGGGTTTTTAATATTTTGTTTCATTTGGTTTGCCCACCTGACAATGTGACGAAACACCATAGTCGTCCCGCCCGCTTTTTTTTAATTATTTCAAATTTCTGTCACTGTCACTTTGCAATTTTATGACCGCCAAAATTTTGCATTTCAAATTATTTCAATGTCCTGCTGCGTACATTATTGCGATAATTCATTAGAAAAGGGATTCAAGTTCTTAAATTTTCCGAATGATCCTTTAAAGATAATGTCATGGAAGAATGCAATGAAACGTCCAGAATGGAAAATTAATTTCAAGACATCCGCAATATGTGAGGTAAATATTCGAATTCACTTGTAAAAGTACAAAAAAGATGAATTTTAGGCCCATTTTGATAGAGATTCTTTCAAGCTGATGGATTTCAAATTGAAAGAGTCTGCTGTGCCGTCAATCTCTTCAAAAAAAGAGTTCCGTCGTCATCCTATTGGGAATTACTGAATAATACGATCGCAGAGAAAGAAAATGAGATGATGCGGAGAGAAATTGAAAGTTTGAAATCAAAACTAGAAGATTTAGGGAAATTGCAATGTGCTATGTCATCAGTCCAAGGTGTTTTGAATTCAGATCAAATTAAAGAATTTATTGGTGAATGTAGACTGCAGGAAGAGGTGGGAAACCGACACAATTAAAATTATATTGAAACAATTATATATCTTCTATTTTTTTATATCCCAACAGAAAACAACTATATTTTCTTGGCCATATGTGATACCACGTAGAACACTTGAATTATCTTTTCTATATCTAATGAAGGAAAGAAATATCTGATGATGAAAATTTGCAATAGCCATCTCAGGAATTGATTCGAAATTTGAACACCCTGTTGTTCATTATTTGAAAATCTAATAGTTATTCTAGTTAAAATAGCCCTATTTCTCACTTCTACCTACGGCTATGAACGGTTTGACAAATAATCTAACCCTCAAAATTGTTTCTGACAATCATTGATACTAGGGGAACTGAAAAGACAGAGCTCGATATATATGTCTTATTCCTTTATTCAATCATCAATGCATTTTTTGAAAACAGAATAGGATAGAAGTATAGTTGTGTCCGGACTCTTGTCTAAGGTATATACAGGGACTCTACATTGGACCACTTTGAGATATGGATGATTTTTATGATTTTCAATGTCGTTGAAACAATGTTCACCCAACCCTGCTACTAAACACGAAACCCTCCCATGTTTCAGGTGGACGTGAAGAAGGCCACCCCCAAACCCGACCAGATGGGCGGCGGCATGATGATGGGCGGCCGAGGCGGCGGCATGCGCGGCGGTCGCGGCGGCGGCATGCGTGGCGGCCGAGGAGGTGGCCGAGGCGGGTACGGCGGCTACGGCGGCGGCCAGAGCTGGGACGGCTACGGCCAGGGCTACTACGACGGCGGCTACGGCGGTGGCTACGGCGGCGGCCAGGGCTACGGAGACTATTATGGAGGCGGTACGGGCGGCGGGTACGGCGGATACGGCGGTTACGATTACTCCGGCTACGGTAAATACGATGATAGGCAGTAGGGGTGTTCTAGTTTTTTTAAGTTGTTTTTTGTGCTTTTTTTTGGGGTGGATGGAGTTGGTTGCGAGATGTGGAAATTGTGTTGTGGGTTTCTCTCGGATGTCCGTATTTATTTTTCCCATAGCTGTGTCTGGCTTCTTTGAAATTTGATTCGGAATATTTTTCGTGGATGTACAGGGTGAGCAAAATTTACTGAGCTCTGTAATAACAAAAGGAGGAGGAATAATCAGAAATAAATGAAAGGGGCTTTTTAATGAGGTACATTTTTAGTCAGTTCTATATATTTTTCTATATTGGAAACTGAAGTATTGACATTTTTCCATATCTATATATCAACATATTTGAAAACATCATTCAAATAGATTTTGTAAACAAAAAATTGTTGCAAGTGTTTCCATTAGAAAATCAATTGTAGGACTCCCCTAGTAAGACAAAAACAGATTGTCATTGTTTTATTTGTTCCCTTTTTTGTTCCTCTTTTTTTAGATTATTTTATATTGATTTGTTTAGTTTCAATATGGCGAAATTTAAGTATATTATGTCTGAGAAAACTGAATTTGTGATATCATAAATTAGTATGGACAAATTGCAAATTTGGCTGGAAATGGACCTCACCTCTTTTGGGGACCTCTTTTTTTATTGCTTTCTATTGTTTCTCCTTTTTATTATAGAGCTGTGATGTCAAGTATTACTCTCCCTATACAGTGTCATAAAAGAACATTTTCTAATGCAAAAGTTATTGGGTTTGTTCAGAGCCACAAGAAAATGAAACAAATTTTCTTATCATAATTTCTATATATGAAATTTGACATGGATATTTATTATGATTTCTACCAATGGCGTCCGTATGGGATGTATCCTGGAGATTTAAAAAAGATATATTGTACGCCCTTGATTTTTCAAAAAAATCCTCATTTATTTTGCAACTCCTTGCTTTTTTCCGTCCGACAAACCGTTTTTGCGTAAAAAAATTAAAACCATTTTCCGGCATTTGTGACAGTTTTTCACATTGTGAAAGTTTCATTAATCAATAAAGGGAAAATGAAATTTTAACACCCTGTAAGCTCGAAAGTTGAGAGGTTTAGGGCCTATGTTCATATAAACTTTTCCTCTTACAATGAGTTGAGGAACCATATCCTATATTTTCAGCCATATACGCCCTGTATAGTGTTCCGTTTGAATGATTTGTCGCGGACTTCATAACTCTAAACGTGGATCACCCTGTATATTTATTTTTTTATTGAAAATGCGTCAAGCTGAAGAGTTTCAATTGATGTATTTCAGGATATTCATCAGAAATTGATAGTGTGGCTGTAAATGAATTTATTTCTGACAGTGACATTATAAGCTTATATCGTCATAGTTACGATATCTATTATGAGGGTAATAACTCCCTTGGGATGTTATAGATGCTATAATTCCCTCTAACTAAAATTAAATAAGAAATGCATAGCAACAACCACGCAGTAACGTAGCAATAAGGAATCTCCTATTCGCGGTAGTCAAGATCATCATCTGACGTTCTGATGACATTGAAACTATACGGAAAAACATGTCTAACTTCCAATCGGGAAGGTATCTAATGAATGAAATCAGTCAGAAATAAAATTATCTATGTATCACGGGAATTACTGAGCCTCAATAACCTCAGGCAATTGCTGCCCCTCGGGCCAGAGGCCCTCGGGACGCAAACTTTGCCATCGGTAATTAAGGCCCTCATAATTCCCTTAATACATAAATAACTATTATTTATTACTTTGTGAATGCACTCAATTTAACATACACACTGTACAGAAACCCATCCTGTGTGTGGTAGCTACAAATTCATCACTATTCCAAAATAGCAAAAATATAATAGGAAATATAAGTGATTCATTTTACTTGATTATTTGGGATTTTCTCTCCTCGTTTCTACAAGATAAAAATATTAGTATTATTTCAATATGTGTAGTAGTACAAATCAGATGATTTGCCCCAAAATGTCACTGTGTTTAACACATATTTCTATCAGGGAGTCTAAAAAGAAATCCAATAGCTTGTCACTTGTCAGTGACACTTTGTCTGGAAAAATGTTTGAAGAAGAGACGAAGAAATATAGATATCGAATTTTTACTTATCTTTGGATGTTTCAGGAACGAATCTGCTCCCGTTCTCAACATGAAAATGGAAATAATTTTTCTTGGAAAATTCTGTTCTTATACACTCAGTTCCAAAAAAAGTGAAAGCTGTAATTCGGAAAATTTTAGAGATAAATTAATGAATAAAAAAACAAAATGCTCGCAAAAGAAGCCTCTTTCCTATAGGGTGTAAGCACTTCCTATGACATTACTCAATTAACACACAGGGTGAGTCAACAATTCACACTTCTCAGAATTTTGCAAGAAAAATATTTTGCATTTTCATGTTGAGAACGGATTTCAGGACTGAAGCAATGTTATTGCCTTCATTCAGAAGAATGTAAGCGGATTTTTTCCTTTTCCTTCTTTGGTTATTATGCATCTTCCTATGATTTAAATAACATTTAACTCTGCCATATTGTTATGTACATTTTCATGAGGATATGTTCAGCTAATTTTCATTCTGAGGAAATCATCATATTGAAATACTACTTATATTCTCATATTTTTATTGGTAAAAAAAGTTGGAGAAATGAATATTCAACTTTCTTGATTAACCTACTGACAGTAAAGTGAAAAATATATGTTCTTTGACTGACCCTTCATCCCATAAAAAAATCAAACAATCTCCCTTGAATCATGGTCCACATTTTAGATTTCAGATTTAGTTATGGAACTGTTTCAGGTTTCTTTTTATTCTTGTTGCCGAAATTCCGAATTTAAAAAGTATCCTCACTGGCGATTTATTCCACTATTTTATCACCCTCTCTGAATAAAACAACAATATTATTCATAAATGTTCAGATTCATTATTGAATGCTACAAAACTACTTGAAAATACAAATCCATATATGAGCTTTGTAAAATGCAACTTCTGTTGAACTTTGAATTCATGTTCTCTTTTTATGCAAAGCATATTTACCGTTTTAAATGAATCTCACATGGGATGATGTCCTTGATAATGGTAAACAATCAAAGGCGTGTGGATTTTTCTTTGATTGATTGATGAACTGTTTATCTACTAGAAACCACTGTTAATGGGCTTATATCACACAAAATTTTTATTTCATAATTCGATAGAACTCACCCAAACTAGCTCACCACCGCAAACCGTTTCTTGCTGTGACCTCCTTGCGTTTTATAAAAAATTATTGAAATCCCCGATTTTTCGGACCTCTGAAAACGAGGCGATGATGTGACGTCAAAACCCAAATACTGAAACAAGACTATGCCAGACAGAGGTGAATGATACATGATTTCTGACAGTGAATTAGCGCGAGATCACAGTTGAAAGAATTAATATATCAGTTGCCCCAGTCTCCGTCGGGCGTTTGGTATTTTCTTTTAACTATGGCGAGATGAGGTTTCTACGTCATAAGAGGGTCCGTTTTCAGAAAGTATTATTTATGTCCAAAAATATAACATTCCAGTTGTATGTATTGTATGTATAAAAGGATCATTATAAACATGGCTTGAGTTTAAAGTTCTACTAAGGTGTTTACGCCCATTGTCGCTTTTCTCGAATTTGTATCCACTTTCAAGTATCTTAAAGTGTTGATTTGTACAGGAGAAAAGCAGTTTCTTTAGAAATAACGTCACTGCAGTGATTTTGACGGTCGTGCGGATAAGGAGAGTGTCCTTTTAAATGCAAGCTTAAGAATTATTGTTGGAAACCTATAGAATCTCAATAACTCCTTCAAAGGCCACAAATAAATAAAAGATATATATGAAATTGACAATTTGCATTATCTTTCAGATCTGACTTGACAATGAAAAATGAAATCAAAAGTAAACATCTCATTAGGCATTGGGACAGTTTTATATTTCAAACGAAAATTGAAATCTCAATTATTTATTAATTTTTTTTTCATTATCTCAGTTTGAATCTGAAAGAAAATGTGAATCAGATGATTTTAATAATGGATATTCAACAAATGATAGTACAAATTCAATAGTCAGTATGATGAAATCATGAAAATATAACAATAGCTCCTTGATTGTTGATAACTTGAACGATGGAGGGTATATTATTTAAATTGATTACTATTGACAAAACATCAATGTTGATAGAAAGGAACAGCTGCTTTCCTATTGCCGAGAGATTTCGATATTGAAGACACACGAGAGTCGTTGTATTCATACCAATCATAGGACCTTAATTGGATCTTCATATAACTTGACACAACAAATAGTATGATCATTCATTCATTCATTCATTCATATACAGAAATACACTTCTTTTTAGTAAATTAAAGAACTCTTCACACTAGATATTAGAGAGTTAATACAGCAATCTCCATCATGATGACACTTTAGTAAAGTGATAAAGTATTCCTTTATTTGGCATATACGCATGTGCATTAAATATATTCCTGACATTATTTTCTTTTTTTTGATAAAGTATAAATCATTCAATTTGGATACAGGAACAAAATTCTTATTTGAGTTGAAAAAATTTCTGCCAAATCTTCATGAATCATAACCATAAGCATCTCGGAAGAGGGTTATGTTGAATTAGTTAGATTATTAATAGGTTGTTAATTCTCATTTGAGTTGAACAATTCCTGCCAAATCTTCGTGAATCATAAGGATAAAAATCTCGGAAGAGGGTTGTTGCATTAACATGCTTCCTAAACAAAAATAAATACTGATAACTGTCGAAATTTCCTGTAATCAAGTGAACTTATTTCTCTCAGCAATAACTCTCTTGAAAAGAAATATTCTCAGATATATTATGAACATGGATAGGTACATATTTGTAAATACTTTGAGAATTTGCATTCTCTATTATGATCACTCTTCTCATTATTATTGTAATACACTTACTGATAATGATTTAAATGCATCAATTATTTTACAAAG